AGTTACTGCAGACTCCTGTCACCCTGTCATGGTGGACTGTCCCTTCGAACTATGAGCCAGAACAGACGATTCCTTCTTTAAGTGGCTTTTGCCACAGCAGTGGGAAACTAACAGAACTCCAGAACTTTTCTTACACATTTTGGTAAAAGTCCACAGGTGCGCTTGTAGCATCCAACACGTCAGCTCCAAGGCTTCTTTGATTCTTGAGCATCTCTGCCTTCATCCAGCGGACCCCAGCGCCACACCGACCAGTGACCTCACAGATGTGTTAGTTACTTTTCTATTGCTGTGATAAAAATAAACCCACAAGACAGCAGTTCAGAGAAGAAGGAGTTTACTTTGGCCTCTGGTTCCAGAGGGAGTGTGCCCAGGGGGTTTGAATGGAGAAGGTCTATTAACTACAGGCAACCATTTTATGACCAGAAGAGGACATACTGAGCGTGACGGTGGTGGTGCACGCCTTTAATCCCAGCGCTCGGGAGGCAGAGGCAGGCGGATCTCTGTGAGTTTGAGGCCAGCCTGGTCTACAGAGTGAGTTCCAGGACAACCAGTACTGTTACACAGAGAAACCCTGTCTCAAAAAATAAAACAAAAAACTAACAAATAAAAACAGACACACTGAATACAGGGTCAGCAGAAGGAAGCAGAATGAACAGACAGTAGAGAGAGCTTGACTCATGTCCAGGGTCAGTAGGACGGAAGCAGAGTGGACAGATAGTGGTTAAAAGAGCTTGACTCCTGAGGGCTTTTGTCAGGACCAGTGGCACCTCTAGGTTATTCATTTGCATAAATGAACAATTCTCTTTTGTGTATAAGCCAGTTTGCATATGAATTTACTTTTTTGTTTTGAGACTAACTCTCAATTTGTAGCCCAGGATAGCTTCCAACCCAAGAGATTCTTGTGCCTTGGCTTCCTAAGAGCAGACATGCGCCACCATGCCAGCTCCAGCTTCACCTTTTTTTAATTATTGAAAATAATTTTTATACAGTGCATTCTGATTACAGTTTCCCCTCCCTCACCCCCTCCCAGATCCTCTCTCTCTCCCTACCCATCCAACTCCCACCTTCTTTCTCTCTCTTTAAAAAACAAACAGACCAATAAACAAGCAAACAATCCAGAATAAAACAAAGAAACAGAAAAAAAGAGAGAAAACATGAGAAACACATACACATGCTTGCATGAGTACACATTTAAGTACGTGCGTACACGCACACACACACACACACACTACAAAACCCATAAAAACACAAAATTAGAAGCATAATAGAAAAACAACAGAAAAAAAGCCCCCAGAAGTATTATCAGTCAAAGTATCTCCAAAAATACCAGGGACTTTATTCTGTGCTGGCCTGAGGTCGTCGTTAAATGTGGCGTGCATACCCAGTGAGGAGCCACTGGAGAAAACCATTGTTTCTTTGGTCATCAGTTGTCAGTTGGAGAAAGTTTCTGCGTTAAGGATGGGTCTTGTGTCCAGTTCCCCTCTCAGCACTGGGACCTCATCTGGCTCGGACCTGTGTGGGCCCTATGCATACTGCCACAGTCTCTGTGAAATTGTCTGGGTGTCACCCTGTTGTGTCTAGACGGTCTTGTTTCCTTGCTGTTCTCCATCCCCACTCACTTACAATCCTTCTGTCTCCCCAAGACCTGAGGGGAGGGGTTTGATGAAGGGGTAGGATTTTTGAGACTGAATAGCTGTTATATTTGTTTGTTAGTCATAAATATTTATTTATTATGTATATAGTGTTCTGACTTCATGCAGGAACTCAGGACCTCTGGAAGAGCAGCCAGTGTTCTTGACCACTGAGCCAACTCTCCAACCCTCGAGCATTATTCTAGTAAAGATGGTTTTTTGTTGTGTTGTTTTCAAGACAGGGTTTCTCTGTAGCTTTGGAGCCTGTCCTGGAACTAGCTCTTCTAGACCAATCTGGCCTTAAACTCACAGAGATCCACCTGCCTCTGCCTCCCCAGTGCTGGGATTAAAGGTGTGCGCCACCACCGCCCAGCTAGTAAAAATGGTTTTAAGGGATACGAGGTGAGGTGACTGCTTCTGACGGCTTTACTGTGTGGGCAGGAAGAAAGCAACAAGTTCAAAAATTTCCCCTAAAACTATAGGCAGAGCACCAGTTGGGGATCTAAGTTGGCTCTAAAAGTATCTCCTGCAGGAATAACTAAATATGACTGAAAACTCAGAGGAAAATCACTCATTCAGAAATTGACAAGTCTATGGAGAATAGTGAAAGGAGTTTGACTCAGGCTGGGGACATTTGAGCAGGCTTGTACGGAACATGTGTCCCTGATCTCCCCTCCATAATAAAAGAACTCCCTCTCTCCTGTCTGGTGACACTAACTTTCCTTTGCTTAAAACTTTGTATAACCGAATGAAGGCTTTATGATGACAGGGTAGTTACCAACCTGTTTACTCTCCATTTCTTCTAGGAGTCCCAGCTGGGGTCATCCTTGTGGATTCCTGGGAGTTTCCTTAGCACCAGGTTTCTCCCTAACCCCATAGTGTTCTCTTTGTCAAGCTGTCTCTTTCATTTTTCTCCCACTGTCCCTCCCTAACTCCACCATCCCATTCCCTCATGTTCTCATCCCCCATCCCCTCCCCTCTACTGTCCCTACTGCGCAGTTTACCCAGGAGATCTCATCTATTTCCCCTTCCCAGGGCGATCCATGTGTCCTTCTTAGGGTCCTCTTTGATACCTAGCTTCTCAGGGGTTGTGGGTTGTAGTCTGGTTATCCTTTGCTTTACACCTAGTATCCACTATGAGTGAGTACATACCGTGTTTGTCTTTCTGAGTCTGGGTTACCTCACTCAGGATGGTTTTCCTCTAGTTCTATCCATTTGCCTGCCAATTTCATGATGTCATTGTTTTTTACAGCTGAGTAATAGTCCATTATGCAAATGTACCACATTTTCTTTATCCATTCTTCAGTTGAAGGGCATCAAGGTTGTTTCCAGGTTCTGGTTATTATGAATAATGCTGCTATGAACATAGCTGAGCAAGTGTCCTTGTGGTATGATTAAACATCCTTTGGGTATATGCCCGAGAGTGGTATTACTAGGTCTTGAGGTAGATTGATTCTCAGTTTTCTGAGAAGTCTCCATATTTATTTCCAAAGTGGCTGGACCAGTTTGCACTCCCACCAGCAGTAGAGGAGTGTTCCCCTGACTCTACATCCTCTTCAGCTGTCCTTAGTGTTTTTTATCTTAGCCCTTCTGACAGGTGTAAAATAGTATTTCAGAGACATTTTAATTTGCATTTCCCTGATGCCTAAGGATGTTGAACATTTCCTTAAATATCTTTTGGCCAATTGAGATTCTTCTGTTGAGAATTCTCTGTTTAGATCTGTACCCCACTTTTAATTGGATTATTTGGTATTTTGATGTCTAGTTTCTTGAGTTCTTCATACATTTTGGAGATCAGCCCTCTATCAGATGTGAGGTTGGTGAAGATCTTTTCCCATTGGGTAGGCTGCCTTCATTTAGTAACTGACGGAAACAGATGCAGAGATCCACAACCAAGCACCAGGCCGAGCTCTAGATGTCCAGTAAAAGAGAGGAAGGAAGGATGATATGAGAGAGGGGTCAACATCAGAATGGGAAAATCTACAGAGAAAACTGGACAAAGCTTGTGGAAACTCATGAACTCTAGATTGACAGCTGTGGAGCCTGTATGGGATGGAACTAGGCCCTTTGCATGTAGGAAACAGTTGTGTAGCTTGGTCTGTTAGAGGACCCCCTGACAGTGGAACCAGGATCTATTCTGCTGCCTGAGCTGGCTTTTTGGAGCCCATTCCCAATGGTGGGATGCCTTGCTCAGCCTTGATGGAGTGGGGAGGGGCTTGGTCCTGCCTCAATTTTAATATGCCAGGCTTTGTTGGCCTGGCATATTCAAAATTAATAAAATTAAAAATAGTATAAAAAAGAAAATATACAATCCTAGACTTGAGAAGTCATTGCATATATTAATTTTCCCTTTTTTTGCCACTGTTTTCAGACTATTTTTCAGATAGGACAAAAGTGAGTTACCTCCACATAGATCAGTTCAGATTATTAACCTATAAAATCATAAAATATCACTAATTGTTTAGATCACTAAGTTTGGGGAAGCTTGTGATACAGCAACCGCCATGAAACAAATATATGAGCTTGTGCATCTGGGAAAGGTTTTGCTTTCTTGGTTGGTTGGTTGAAAGATGGGGGTAATAGTAGGCTCCATTCAGTGACGCTAACTCACCACATGGTCTATGGAAGGGTATTTAAAGGCTTAGGGAGCTGAGACTAATGGAGAATTGTTCGTGTGAAATTATATATCTTGCCTCACCCCTTGTGTGTCGTGGGGACTAGAGGGTAAGGATTTCACTGAAGCCCCGAGAACTGCATTTGTGGGGTGAGTCTCCGCAAACCTGAACAATTCCAGGCACGGTGTGGTGAGAAACACCACCACCGAGTTAGATTTCCAGATCTCAGTAGAGATGATGGAATACCGGCCAAGCACTCAGAATTTTCTTTACCCACAGGAATCTCTAGTGGGGAGCGCCTCTGAGAATCCAGGACGGTCATTTATAAAGTCTACCTTGAATGACAGACTAGAAACCAGACGTGTCTCACCACAACTGAGAACCTCGCTTCTTCCTCTATCCCAACATTGGTATGAGTCAGGGTATATTTTACTGAGATATATCACAACCAATAGAAATTATTCTAAAATATAATTTCTCAAAGACTTTGGTCTAAAACAGTTAGGAATCTAAAGCCATATAACACAAAAGCAAATCAGATACAGATGAACTGTCTAGACCCTCAAACTACTGCTTTATGAGGTTTTAACATAAACATCAAAGAAAATTGATACAAGTGTTTGCTCAAAATTAACATAATTTATTCATTCTCAATTCATATTTGTTAAGGAAAGGAATACATATTTCTTGGAGTCTTTTAAAAAATCAAGTGTACATAATTTCATATGACAGTCTAGTGAGGGGGTGTTTTTCTTAGGATGTCCACATATAGGTGAAGACATTGTAACTCAAAAGAAAAATAATAGATTGAAACAATTAAATTATTGAGTAAATAAAGCCCTGAGCAAGGGATTGAACAAGGAAGGGAAGAGCCCATGAGATTCAGATTCTAATAGAGGCCACAGGAAGGACGGTGGTTTAGGAGCAAAGCCAAGGGTGATCAAAACAGGAAAACCTGAACGCACCATTGCTTCAGCTGTTAACTGACCACATGTAGCTTTACGCACACCCCACCACGGAAGGGTATTTCCAGGACAGCCTCGGAAAGCAGGTGGTGCGTCTGAAAAGCTGGAGACAGTCACTTTCTCTACCAATCCCTGTTCAAGTGACACCCCAAGGAAAGCAATAGGCAAAACCGTTACCCCACAAAACCAGAGCAAAACAACAACAACTAAGTCAACAGCCAGTCAGAAACGGAATTCTAGAAACAGAACTTAGGGAATGCTCTAGAATTTCCAAGGAAAGAACTTTGTTAACATTAACGGTAAGAAAAGATGTGGGACACAAAATAAAATAATAATAATATAATAATAAAAGTAGGACAGTGACTTTCATGTGAAGTTTGCTTTGGGCTGTGTCATATAGATGTTTGGGCATCAGCCTCATTCCTTTTGTACACACACACACACACACGCACATGCCATGGCACAGATGTGGAGGTCATATATACACAAACATACCCACACCCATATGAAAATTTAAACCTTAAAGACATTTTCAAATTGCCTTTTTTTTATATGCAGAGATATACCGATCATGGGTATATACAATAGAACTCTCACACCTAAGCTCAAGGAACATTGTGGAAGAGGCGGTAGGATGGCAAGAACCAGAGGACCAGGAAGTCTGCTGTGAGATTGTGTCTCCTGGAAATGACTGGGAAGCCACATCTGTGATAATTCAACAATGTGGTTGTCTTAACAAGACCTGAACAAGGTCAACACGGAAGGGCGAAGTCTCATGGTCACCAGTCTTCAATCTGCAGACAATAATGACTTCTGAGAGGAGAGTTAGCCTCTCCCATTGGTGAGTCCCCTGACTGATTATCCAGTACAAAGTGGTCAACTTTGAAATCATATAAACACAAGCAATGCTTAAGAGACTCAGGAAGTCATACTTATATATTTATGCTTATACGTAAGTAACAATAATATTCAAAGAAAAAGAAGCCATTGATTTGAGAGAGAGAGAGAATGGGGGCCATGGGAGGGGTTGGAGGTAGAAAATCCTGAAGGGGTTGGAGGAAAGAAAAGGAAGAACAGAAGTAATATAATTATTGTATTTTAATTAAAATTTTAAAATTATCATTATTTACATTTTAGCCAATCACACTAAAGTTGTAAAATGTTAGACTAATGAGTATAATTTTATTCTCAATGTGTAAAGACGTTCAGAGTCAATCACATACAAAACACCTGTCTCATGCAAGGTCCTGTGGGAGTGGGAAAATTCTACCCTTTCTCTGCCTTCCAGGAGTCCAAGGAGGGAGCTAAAACATAAGCTCTAGTCTACACAGTTCAAAAATGAAAACATGTACACACTTCTTGAGTGGGACAGAGAGAGACAGACACAGACAAAGAGAAAAACATTTTGTGCCCTAAGGAAAGGCAGATCCCAATCAGTTGGAGGAAAATTAAAAAGAAAGTATCTCCTAGGACAGGTAAGGACTGAATCATAGAGAGACTTTGATTTGAGGTTCCAGGAAGATTTGAGGTTCCAGAAATGAGGCATTGTGGGTGGAGGGAACCGTATAAAACACATGAACACCAGTGAACACTTTGACCGTGCTGAATTTGAGCTCTGCACAGGAGCTTCTGGGACTGGAAGCCCATGCAGCATGTTTAGGTGGGAAGTTTCTTTAGGAATAGGACTAGGACCACTGCTGATACATCGACTAATGATGTCTGGATGCTGTGCTGCTGATACATCAGCTGATGATGCCTGGATGCTGTGCTGCTGATACATCAGCTGATAATGCCTGGTGCTGTGCTGCTGCTGATACATCAGCTGATAATGCCTGGATGCTGTGATGCTGATACATCAGCTGATGATGCCTGGATGCGGTGCTGCTGCTGATACATCAGCTGATTATGCCTGGATGCTGTGATGCTGATACATCAGCTGATGATGCCTGGATGCGGTGCTGCTGCTGATACATCAGCTGATAATGCCTGGGTGCGGTGCTGCCTTCACTGCAGGGCCAGTGGGTGATATGTCGGGGGATTGCACTGACGCATATTTATCAAGTATTCATTGCACACCGCACATAGCAGTGCCCGATGAGGGTGACAAGCACCCTTCCTTTACTACTCATATTTTAGCTAGGTAAATTAATGCTTAAGGAGGTCAGCTGGTGGAGCTAAAGACTTACATAGTTAAACTAGAGTTTGAACCTTGGGTCCCCAAACCTGGACTTCCCCTACACATATCTCTTGCATCTCCCCAGGAAGAGTGAGCGTGAAGTTAATCCTTGACCAGTAAAGATACCACTGGGCATATGCAAGTGGCAAAAGTCCACCTTGTAGTCCCATCCAGGGAACCAGGGCACATTAAAAGCTGTAATAAATACGGGTTTGTTGTCCTTGCTCACTTCCTTCTGAACAAAGCAGGCAGCCCTGTCCAGACTGTTTAATCTCTCTGGGCTCCTTGCATAGGGAATGATGTCATTAATAGTGTCCTTTTCAGAGGATTTTGAGAGGAGTCACTCCAGTGGTGCATATAAAATACTCAATAGTATCAGGCATAAAGTAAGTATTTGGTAAATGCCAGGGGTTAATGGGAAAGGTCGCAATGTAAAGCAGTTAGCACACTGTATGCACTGTCTTATAGTCTTCTCTTAGGATTTTAGAATATCAGATCTAGATAGTCCTTTCCCATTTGATCTCCTAGAAAACAGCCCCAGTAAGGGCCAAAAATGACAGTATTTTGTCAGAATCCATTACACCACTGATTCCTAATAAAGCAAACGAACCACTCAACACTGATTGGCAGTCAGGATTCGGCCTGCCAGTCATGCATCTGAGAGGTGGAGTCCAGCATAAGTCGTTCTGTATAACCAGAAAGACTTTCCCATCTGCCCTGATCTCTGGTATTGGGAGGGTCTGCTTCCCCAATAGGAATCTTGGGCCATGGCATAGAAGCCGTGAGAGACCTACCTGGCTGCAAAGGCGTCTAAATACACCTCAGAGGTTTCCAATAAAGAGTTACATGTTTGTGCTGCAAAAGCATTCTGTTTCGTGCAGGCAGACAATGATAAAATAAGATGCACTGATGGAGGAAGGTCATTGGCTAATAAAGAAACTGGCTTGGCCCATTTTATTGGTTAGAACATAGGTGGGTGGAGTAAACAGAAGAGAATGCTGGGAGGAAGAGGAAGTGAGGTCAGAAGTAATGCAGCTCCTCTCAGAGCCAGACGCCTCAGACAGAGAGGCATGCTCCACTCTCCCGGGCAGATGCTTGCAATGAAGCTCCTCCGACCCAGGATGGACGTAGGCTAGAATCTTCCCGGTAAGCGCACCTTGGGGTGCTTACACAGATGATTAGAAATGGGCTAAATTAATATGTGAGAATTAGCCTAGAAGAGGCTAGATAGAAATGGGTCAAGCAGTGTTTAAATGAATACAGTTTGTGTGTTGTTATTTTGGGCATAAGCTAGCCAGGCGGCCGGGGTGCTGGGGACGCAGCCCCGCCGCTCCTATTTCAACAACGCACACTGTGGAATGTTACTTTAACTGTGTAAAGATGTGTTACATTTCTTTATGTTGCATTTGTTTAATTATGCAAAGATGTGTTGCTGTTTCATTTGCCTGCCTAAGGCATCTGATGGATCTAATAAAAAGTTGAACAGCAAATAGCTAGGCAGTAGAGAGATAGGCGGGGCTGGAAAACAGAGAGAATAAGTAGGAGGAGGAATCTAGGCTTGAGAGAGAAGGAGAAAATGGAGGAGAAAGGAGAATGAGACTCCAGGGGCCAGGCAGTCACCAGCTAGCCAGCTAGACATGGAGGAAGCAGGAAAGTAGGTTTTGCAGAATGAAAGAAAGGTAAAAAGCCCTGAGGCAGAACATAGATAAAGAGAGACTAGTTACTTTAAGTTTGAAAAGTTAGCCAGAAACAAGACTAAACTAAAGTTGAGCATACATAACTAGTATAAGTCTCCATGTCATGATTCGGGGGGGGGGGGGTGGTCCGAGAAAGCCTGCTACACATGCATAATTTAAATATGTCCTTTACACTCTTCCATCCCATTAACTCCAAATTCTGCTCAGTCTAAACGCCAGGTAAAGAGCTTGCTTCGGGCCCTCCAACATACAGCTGTCACAGGAGCTAATGTACACATCTGAGTAGTTCTTAGGTCACAGGAGCTAATGTGCACATCTGGGTAGGTCTCAGGTCATGGGAGCTAATGATGTGCACATCTGGGTAGGTCTCAGGTCACAGGAGCTAATGATGTGCACATCTGGGTAGTTCTCAGGTCACAGGAGCTAATGTGAACATCTGGGCAGTTTGCAGGTCAGTAAATCTACTGAGCTTCATGGAGCAGCATACAGACCAGACTTAGCACCTTTAGGTAATCTGAGCACAATGAGACCTGAAAGATCTTCCATAATGCCCATCATCAAATTGCCCTCACTGTTGACATCACTGTATTCCAGGTGTAGACACGGAGCTATGAGAAGGTTTACTGTAAAACCTAAAAGGTAGAGAAGTTGGCTAAGCATGGGAGACAGGGCACTGTAGCTACTCATCTGAAGTCCCTGAAGGCACAACACACCAGCATGTCATCTTCCCTTAAGGTGATACCACTGAAAAACAACAACAAAACCCTACAATGTTTTGTTTTAAGGAGAGATGTAGTTGAACGAGAAAACACCAGTAAACATAGTGACATTACAGGTTAAAACAAATGCCTCGTGGCTGAGACCTTTAAAAAGGAAAGCCTTGAAACAAATGCCTTTTCCTGCGGTTGTGCATTTAATGTGTGCTTAACTGCTTCCTCTTGATTAGCGCTCTAGGGGCTGCCAGGATTCTAGGAAGCTGTGAAACACATCAGTTATGACTTTGTTTACACAAAACCGTCTGGAGCTTCCAGCCCCCAGAGAAAATGATGGCTAGAAATAACTCTATGGCAATCTGTTTTAGTAGCTGGAAATTTCCACGTCTCCCCGTGGAAAGCCAGGGGAAAACAAGCGGGGCCTCAGGCCAGGATCCCAGGGCTGGCTTTCTAAAGTGCGGCTGTGCTTGTCCGGATAGAGTCTTGAGAGCAGGGAGGCTGTCAGTCTTGCACACTCCTGATGGAAATTCTGGGTCATCATCCACAGCCTTTGAAAAGTGCAAAGGGCAGATTCTTCAGGCCAAGGGACCTTCACTCAATATTCAGAGCTTCTAAAAGATGTCCCAATCAGATGATCCCAACATCCAAGGCCACAGGTCCAGATCTGGGAAAAGGAAAATAAAGAAATCACTGTTCTGATTAGAGCATATGTAACCTCTCAAAATAGACTGGAGGAAGAAAGAACTAAAAAAAAAAAGTCATTCATGCCCTTCTCTCTACCATGGATTGCTCGTATCTAGTTTTCTTTCCAGCTATATTACAAAAGACCCCTTTCCCCCCGCCAGTTCCATGGCCACAGACACTTGCACTATGACGAAACATTTCATAGCATGTCAGATGCCCCGGAGCTGGAGATCCAGGCGGTTGTGAGTTGCTCAACATAGATGCTGGGAACTGAGCTTAGGTCCTCTGCAAGAGTCACAAGCTCTCTTAACCACCGACCCATTCCCAGGTCCTTTACTTCTGTTTTTAAAGCCTCTGGCAGTTACAACAAGTTGACTTACCCCACTCACTAGGCCAAAGTACATGGCCAGGGCTGCTCCCTCTTCTCTTGGTTAATTTGCTCAATCTACTTGGATAGCCTACAGCACCCATTGTCTTACTGAGTGACAAGCTAGATGTTGCCATGAGATTTATAGATGTGATTAACTTGTGGTACCTATTCACCTTTAATCAGATGATATCCCAAAGTGTAGATCCCTTTCAATCAAGGGAGGACTTGAGAATAAGCCCAATTCCCCATGATGAAAAAACTCTGCCTGGAGACTGTAACGTGGAAAGTCTGCCTCAGTTTCCAGCCTGCTGGCCTACTCCACAAAGCAGAGCCTCACCGTTCCCACGATCAGAGGTGCTAATCCTTTAAAACGAATCTACCTGTCTTTCCCTCTGTCACTCCCCTGCCCCCACCCCAGGCTCTGTTTCTCTGGAGAGACCCGGGCCCCCAACAACAGGGACCAGATTTCCTGGTTATCTTCTCCCTTCCCCCCTAGTCACCTCATTTTTCATGTCAGATAAGAAGAAGGACTGAGGCTTTTCTGGTTATAGGGATAAATGCTTGTTGCAAGATACTCATGGTACTGTTGACTCAACTAGGAAGTTTTAATACTTCACTACAAGTGGGCATGGGAGAGGGTGAGGCGTTCAGGAGACAGAACAAGTCTTTATGTGCCCTTTGGGTTCTCAAATCTTTGTTTCTGCCCAATGACCCATGCCTTAAGGCTTGGTGTTGGTATTTCACCTCTAGCCCAGACACCAACTGCAGATGGATCCCCTGTGGGTGCATCTGATTTGGCTAATTTGGCATTTAAAATCTTTTCCTCTAGTATTTAATAACCAGCAGACATTACCTAAGCATATATGTTTCCTTCTGCTTGGCAATGACAAGTCAGAGCGGAGCTAGCAGGCTGTGCTCTCCACTTGACCGCCATCCCCACTCCCTCTCTAGTCACCTCTGCCCGCCTTCTGTTTTACCACCTGCTGGCTGGAAATCAGAGCTTCTCACCTTTGCCCTCAGCCTATCCCATTTCGTCCATCTGAGGAGTTGAAGGAGTCACTTACAGAAAGACACCGAGCCTATAGGACCTACACAAGCAGGTGCCTCTGGGTCAAGGATACCCCTTTTTCCTTGGGATTTTCATTTCTGAAGAAACAGATTATTTTCATCAGGCTTGCCAGGGCTGATGGGAAACTCTTGAGTCAGGCATATCGAATTGCTGACTCAGAGTTCAGTGTAATCAAACTTCATTACGGACCTGACCTATGCTGCGTGTCTTTTCCTTGGCTCTGTACCCAGGCTGTGGGCCCATAGACACGGCTTTCAGACCAGTTGTTGGTAGACATGGGCAAAGGGCTGAAGACCCATGGTAAGTCTCTTTCATCCCATTTGTCTTGATGACTGCCATCTCTTATGGTTGAGCCAAAGGCGTTCTAGGGTTGTTTCCACAACTGGTAGCTTTGGAATTGTGGTATTACCCACAGCAGAGTTCTAAAATGAGAGGCTTGAATATCCCCGAGTTTCTGACACAAGGGTATTTCGAAGTCTGATTCTCCTGTATCACTTTAGTCAACTCAAGTGCCATACCACATCGCTGCTAGACCACAAAAGAAGTGGTTTTCCACCAAGCTAGGCTCCCCATTGTCCCACATGGCCCAAGCCTATCGATCCCAGAAGTACTGCTTCCCAAGCCCTACGCCTTCCATTCAACCAACTTGCAGTAGCATAACACCCTGCCTTCTGACATCCCCAGGCCGTCCCGTCTCTGTCACCAATACCAGCTGGGAGCCTGTCACCCTCATCAAGAGGCTTCGTTACCCCTGCACTGCTCCCAGCTCAGCCCCACAACATAGTTCTTAATCCTTGTTTGTTGCAAAACCATCAGCCAATTGTACCCCAGCTGAGTTATTGTCTCACTAGTGAAGTTTGACTCTGTTTCTAGCTTCACCGGTACAGACTTGCCATACAGTACCAGCTAGGAGAATTTAGAGATGCAGACCAAGAATGGCGTGACTATCTCTGGCCTGAAATGGAGGCCACCTTTGCCCTCCAAAGAAGGCATGGAGTGAAGCCAACTGCAAGAACAAGCTTGGTAGAAACGCTACCAACTAAAGAATCTTCTGTGTACACCGATCCTGTTCAACTTCCATGAACTAATTAGCACATCCACGGATACAACTGCCCCCCTGTGTCTCCATATTCCACACCCACTGGGTCCACCAACAAAGGGTTGAAAGTATTTGAAAATAACAAAACAAAAAAACCATCCACACTAAATGTTTGTGGATAATTTTTCTTTTCCTAGTTTTTAAGTATTAAAATGGCAGTTTACTATTTCACAAGTAAAGCATACAGTTTTATAATGATTATTCTCTGAGCAAATGGTATTCTTAAAATCCAGGTCTTATGTCAACGTGACTCACAAACTACAGTTACTTGGAAGGAGGGAATCTTGATTGAGAAAATAGTCCATAAGATCCAGCTGTAGGGCATTTTCTTAATTAGTTATTGATGAGGGCGGGCCTAGACCATTGTGAGCCCAGCCCACCCCAAACTGGCGGTCCTGGATCCTATAAAAGAGCAGGCTGAGCAAGCCATGAGGAGCAGGTCAGTATGAGGCACCCCTCCGTGGTCTCGGCATCAGCTTCTGCCTCCAGGTTCCTGTCCTGTTTGCGTTCCTGTCCTGATGTCCTTCTATAGTGAACTGTGATATAGTAGCATAAGCAGAATAAACCCTTTCCTTCCCAGCTTGCTGTTTGGTCGTGATGTTTTGTCACGGCCATGGTAATCCTGACTAAGACAAGGGGTAAAATCAAGAGTCCACTGCTAAGGGCACACTTTAAGCCACCGACCACATTTTCCATCTCACATCTACCCACGGAGGTGACAGGGGACGGCACATCCTTGAATCTGGCAACACTGCAATCACATTGACAGGGCGTCTGGGGATGCCTGGGAGAACAGACGGTAGGCACCACTGGGTGCCTGGGCAGCTATTTTCACACTGCAGTCTATCCAAGGATTCCGGCAGATCCAGAGACAGGGCTGGTGGGATGGGAGAGCATGTGTGTACCCACCCTGGCACTGCCACGTAGTGTGCTTCCCAGAATGCATTTCACGGAAAGCATCTATGGAGGGTATGGGAGCAGGGACTTTCATTGGGTTAGCCTTTCTTGGTGGCATGACGTTGCTAAAACGATGTAGGACAGGACCCTTAAACTGAGGGCTTTAAAATGTGAAAGAATAAAAATACGTATTTTATAACATAGGAAATATCTGTTAGAAAAGGAAGACTGAGTTTCCCAGAGCCTTCCGTGTTTGGAGGCTCAAAATTAGATGCTTTAAACTCCCCTAACATTTTCAGGACACCGGGGGGGGGGAGGGACAATTGTATCCAGCCAGGCCAGGTGGAGGGGTCCCTGAAAGTTGCTGGAGTCCCTAGGACCTGCCCCACTTTCTGCCTAAAACTTAAGCTTCCTCCACCCGTGGTCTATCTGAGAGCTGGGTGGACAGTCACAGCACCCTACTTCTGCACGAGAGAGGCCTCCAGAGGGCAGAAAAGCAAAACAAAACAGAAACAGTGCCAACCTGGAAGCTATGAAGCTGGAGCACCCAACCATGCCTCCCGTGTCGCCTTCCCCGTGGCTCCTTTCCTATCCCTTTCTCAATGAATCGAAAAATAGGCTTCAGGTAGGCTAGAGATAGCCTAGAGCAGACGTTTACAGACCTTTTGTTACCATTTGAAGGAGAAATGTCCTTCACTGGCTCCTGTGTTTGACTACGTGGTCCCCAACCTGCGATGCCATTTGGGAGGGTGCAGACCCTCCATGAGGTGGAAGTTAGCCGAAGGAAGTAGGTTACTGGGGTTAATAGCTTGTTCCTACTTCCTGTCACTCAGGTACTTCCTGTGGAACTGAGAAGTGAGCAAGCCTTGGTCACACATGCTCCCACTGCCACGGAGGTACCTGCTGCAGTGCCTTCCTCTCCAAGATGGACTTCAGCCCCTCAGCCCATGGTCCCAAACACACCTCTCTCTTAAGCTGCATCTTGTCTGGCGTTTGGTTGCTGCACTCAGAAAAGTAACTAAGACATGCCTGTTGTCGTTGTAAGCAACACAATGTCACTACTATTTGCAAAGCATTCGCACTGCAACAGAGAGTTTAAGTAATCAAAATGATTTCAAGCCTGCGTGCAGGTGTAGATCTGCAAATACTGGGCCATTTTACCAAAAAGTTATGAAGATTCACTAATGTAAGTCAGGCAAGAACCAATTCCCATGAATACTGGGGGGACAATTGAATTTACCAATTCAAGCTGAGATAGAGAAGGAGACTGAGAAGGAAAGCAAAACCATGTTTGCTCATAGTTCTGTTCACTCCTGTATCGCAGTGGTGGAATTCACTGTCTGCGAAGACCCCAGAGATGTCTAGCTTCAGTATTACTCCTCCCTTTCCACCTTCAAAAATATGCCTTATTGATTCTTTGAGAGTTTCATAAATGCACAGAATGGATTTTGATTATATTCATCTCCCCGTACTGCTCAACATCTACCCCTATCCCCCCAAGCCCTCCGAACTCTGTGTCTTCATGTGTGTTGCCCATTTACTCAG